GGGGGGGGGGGGCTAGCGAAGAACGTCGGGCTGGTCGGGCCGCTGCCGAAGGCGGTTCCGAGCCCAGGCGACAGGAAGGCGGGCGGGCGGAAGTCGCCCGTTCCGCCCTCTCGCCAGCTGTTCCATTGCTCCGTGTAGGTCTGAGGACCGCGTACATGGGAGGGGCGACGAGCACGTCAGCGGCGGGTCGCGGGTCAGGAGTTTTGAAACACGTGTGTGTGCGCTGCGGTATGTATGTACCAAGTTGTTGCACTTTCGATCTTGTGCTGATTTGGATGCTGCTGCCGCCGTCTCCTCGAAGCTACCACAACATCAGTAGTGTCAGCATCGCCCATCATTCCCCCCAACCCCAAAGCTGCAGCCACCCCTTTCGTATATCTCGGATCACGGACGAAGGGAGTCTCGAGTCTCTCCTTGGGCACCTCCAAAAAACCTTTATTGCCGTTCACACGAGAAAACAATTTCGGTTGCCACGTTCAAAAAAAATCTCCCACTAGAAATCCCAACAAAGAAGAGGACGACGCATAGCGAAAACAAAAAGAATCGCGATCGTAGGTACATACAGCACGTGCTCAAGCGTAGCTCACCTCCATGTACTCATCCAGACACTCCTTCACGGAGGAGGGGTCAGGCGGAGGAGCGAGGGGGCTCTCCTCCGGAGTCACCGCGACAGCCGCGCCCCCCCTACCGAGAGAGAACCACCGCACCGCGCCCATCTGGGCATCGCCGTCCATCATAGCCCCCTCGCCGCCGGCCTTGCCACCGCCGTCGCCGCCGACGCGTGCCCTCCGTTGCTTCCGCCCGACGGCATCGTTGTTGCGCGCGCGGGAGGGGGGGGCGGCATTCAACGCCCGCGCAACGACACCGTCTCTGCTGCCCGACGACGACGACGACGCGGAGGCGGCGCCCGGGCGTGTGTTCGGGGTCAACGCGCCTCCCCGCCAAGACCCCGCGTAAGTCGTTGTCGTCATCCCGGCCACCGCAACACCCACCGAACGGTTCCTGGCCCTCTTGCGGCCGCCTCCGCCACCGCCGGATGACGGCGGCAGCGGCGGCGCAGCCGCCGCCCGCCCGGGGGTAGAAGTAGTAGTAGTAGTGGCAGTGGCGGCGCTGCGCGCCTCTGCCATCTTGGAGGCCGCTACCCCAGCCGACTTGGCCGCCGTGAGCTGCGTGGGCGAGAAAGCGTCCTCCTCCTTTTTCTCGCCCCCTCCTCCGTCTCCGTCCACTTGGTGGGCGAGCCAGGCACCGTCGTCGTCGTTGTCGTTGTCGTACCGGGGAACGGACCTGCGGCGTTTCCTCACCCACCGCTCGACGGAGTTGGAGGAGGAGGAGGCGTCGTAGGAGCCCGGGTCCGGGAACTCGCGCATCACCTGCGAGGCACGTGTTCAGACAAAATCACAAATGTCGGATGCATAATACATACGGTCAACGCGTTCATTTCGTGAACGAACAGAGAGAGGGCAGAGAGACCATGAGCGAGGTTTTGAAGCACTTCCATCAAAGGGTGTGTTGCGATCAGCGACAGAACCCGCTGGGCAGCTAACCAAGAGCATGGTAATGAGGCAACTTGCAAGGGCCGCGAATGTGCCAGGCAGAACACGCAACCACACTCGGATTTTGCAACACCTTGGTTTACCACATGACCGATCGCAGTCCAAAGTTGTCCCTGCCCAAGACTCGGGCCGGGCAAAAGCTTCCCGCCTACAACAGTGGGCACGACAGCCGCACGCTACGGCAACGCATGTCAGTCAAAACGCACATACCGTGCAAGACCTGTCGTCCCCCTCACACAGACCACAAGATAAGAACAGCAAGTCATCGGGGGGGGGAAAAACCCAAGGGATGGATGAGCACACGTCATCTACGTAGAGTTACCGATGCGTAGGTCGATCGACCACCGCCTTTGCGAGAAACTAATTTGATGAGGAAATAGAACAGGGAGGGGATAGCCAGACCCTATCCCTAACCCTAACCCCAACCCAGCTTCGCCGATTGCATGCTGTATCCAACATGTTTACATAACACGAAACCCTGCCACGGCTATCGCGAGGAGAGGGCAGGACCGAGCTTTACCTGGCGCGGGTCGACGGGGCTTCCCTGGTCCGACATGGCGTCCGACGGCCCCTCCGGCACCATAAACGACGACGAAAGAGCGGCGGCGGCGGCGGCGGCAGGGGTGGGCGCCTTGGCGGCGCTGCCGCCGTTACCTCCGTCGGTGACGACGTCCGCGTTCGCGGCGAACGGCGTGTCGGATGGAGAAACCCACCGCGTGGACGCGAGGGTGGACGGAGGGCTCATGCCGTCGAACGAAGGCCGTCTTGGTCTGCTTCGTCTCGACTCCGACCCGACCTGGAAGGGGGGGGGGGGGGGA